TACTACTACTACTACTACTACTACTACTACTACTACTACTACTAGTACTACAACTACTACTACTACTACTACTACTAGTAGTAGTAGTAGTAGTACTACTACTACTACTACTACTACTACTTACTACTAACGACTACTACTACGAATACTACTACGAATACTCGTACTAATTACGACTAAGACGACGGAGTCACGAGTCTGTGCCAGCAGGAATATAACCTAAGCTATTGTGTCGCGTGCTGTGGCCACCCGGAAGACCCACCTCAGCTTCCGAGAGCGGCGTGTTGAGGAAGATCAGCCGCGTCCCGCGAGGTGTGCCTCAACAGCTCCAGAGCATCGGGACTTCTGTCCCGCTTCCGGTCTCTCGCTCCGCAATGCCTGTGCGATCCGCAAAGATCTCTTCCACCGAAGGCTCGAAAAGGACCTCGATTGCATAAGATGCTCTGACTTTCTGCGGAAGAATGTTGTAGAGCTGCAAGGGTTGATACAACTGAGGGCCTTGAGAAATGTAAACTGAGGTGCCTGCAACCTCCTCGGGCAGCAAATTCTTGCCTTAGGTTCATGCCGACTTCTAGTCGCTGTGGACTCGTGCGAAGCTGGTCTCACTAGCCGGGTGGGCTTTGCAGTCGAGGGGCTGTGGGGATGCTGGATGTTTACGCAGCCTCCCACCGAAGGCATGCTGAACGCATCCTGCGACCAGGCGCAGGGACGATGCGATATTGTAACGCAAAAAGCGGGCGCCTGTGCAAAGAGCGCAGAAGAAGGTGCAGAAGGCAGGCAGGGCAGACTCCGTAGTTCCTGCAGAGGAGAGGCGAACCAAAGTCAGAAATCCCAAAGAGAAACACATGCCATGCCTCCGCCTTCTCCTCAGCATCCTCTTCGATGTCCGTGCAAGAGCCCGCGCTCTTCTTCCTACCTCAAAACAAAAAACGGGAGTGAGAACCACCGGCTCAACACGACGCTCAGGATCGTAAGTGCGAGACTTCTGGATGTGACAGTTGACAAAGCTCGAGGGATCCATCCCTGTTTGGCCATGCCTGGAACCTCGATGCAGACGAAGAAGCTGAAGCAAAGAAAGCCTCCTGCGATGCTCGGCTGCTAAGCTTCCAACTTCGCCCAAACGACTATCTAATCGACGTCTAGCAGATTGAGCCAAGTCACGACCGGCATTTCAAAATGCTCATACCGTTTATACCTTCTTGTCTTGGTCCGTTTTCCTGAAGAAGCAGACTCTAGGCTCTCGATGCTCCTAGGGAGACAGTGGCATAGACTGCGTGGTATTTTCGCGATGACCTGCAGCGCTACAGTAGTGGGACCTGTGCATGGCGCGGCCTCTGGCGAACGTGAGCTTCCCGAGTAGGATGTACTCCATGCTCCGAAATCTGCAAAGGAGTAGCAATCGAAAAGACATTCCTACACCCTTCCGTCTAGAAGTCCGGCTCCAAGCCATGTGGAAATCTCGGAAAGTCAAGTCCATCAGTGAGCTTGCCGGCTTCCGATACTGTTCAGAGAAGCTGGATGGGGGCAGGGCCGGGTTGTGTGCCTTGTGACGTGCTTGAATAATGGAAGGTGATCTGCGGCTCTCTTAAACCCAAGCTGTGGCATCGCGTGACAGCGACAGCGTTCCCCTTCCCGGCCGTAGCTGGCATCGAGCTTCTTCCGGCGGAGGCTGGGATGCGACAGCGAGCTTGTTCGCCTCACCGCTCTCGGAGAATTGCGGGGATTTCTGGGGCTCCAAGGCTCCAACCAACTTTCTCCACTGCCCAGAGCATCAAACCTGCCACGGAGTGGCTCCAAGGGGCTCGCCCGATGCAGCGCAGATGTGCGAGACACTACGGAGTAGATGAGCAACTCTCGCTTGAAAGGCACTGATAGCACCAACAGCTTTATTGCTTCTCGAGCGCAAGGCGGACAGGGACAAATCTGATCTGATCTACACACCGTGTCTGCGACGGATCGTGTCTCTTCTCGTGCGATATGCAGTTGCACTGCATAACTTTGGCACAGAAGAAATGTTCCGAGAGCGATGTGCCCAACTGTGGCCGGCTCGCCTTCGGCGACGCCTTCAAAAGCTGGGCAAACTGGGGTCTCGAGTTGCGGCTTTCTCACCACGAAGCGCATTCGAGCCCTTCAGGTCAGCTTGCTCTGTAGGTCAGAAGGCGCGAAGTTCACCGCGCGCCAGTCTTGTTCTGAGCATATCACTTTCTAAGAGATCCGTCGAGTTCACATGACGTGCCGTCAGCGACTGAGGGCACAGCTTACTGCGGCCAGCAGTATGTCTTCGTTCGCCTTCACCAAATTATCACATGTTGCATCACCTTCGACACATTTTGTCTGCCAAGCAGCCCGGAGAGCATCCGAGGCAAACTCCACGGACATCCCATTGACTCAGCAACGCGAAGCATGCACACACGAGGAAGAGGTCTCTTAAGGCAAGCGGCTCTGGACGCAGCGCATGATGAAATCGGAGTCCCCTGGACAGAAATCGCAGCTGAGAGGCTTCTTGCTGGCTCCCGCCGCGCCTTTCAATCGCTCAGAGGCATAGCTCAGCGCACAGCGATCCATCCGCAGCGCCGGCAGGACCAGGTCCTCGATTCGGCTTGCGTCTCCGCGTCTACGCGACTCCGATGTCTCCTCACGATCGCGAAGGCGCTCTGAAGCATGCCTGGGCGCCACACGAAATGCGAACGGCACGGAGTGCCGATTACGGAAAAGTTCGGTGTTTTGGTGCCTATAAGCACGCGGCTCCAGCGCTAGCGGCTCACGTTGAGAGGCTTCCCTCACCTCTCACGCCAGGAAGCAGAACCTCTCAGCACATGGGAGCCGTGTCCGGGCACCAGCTCTTCATCATCCTGCAGCTGCGGCGACGCACATTGGAGCGCGTGTCCGGATCTTCTCAGCGCTTTCAGCACGAGGCTGCGATCCTTCCGGCAACATTGCGGAGGATGGCAGAATATGGCGGGGTCGTGCACGCCATGACAGCACAGGCATCCAACGAGCGGGGTCGTTCTGAAGTGCTGCATCCGTGTGGAGCATGACCTTCACGAAGGGCAGCGAGTGCGGGTCAAGAAGCAGAGAGTCCCGTGCCGTCCCGTGCCTGCCATGCGCCGCGGTCCAAGGCCTCCTCCACCAAACTCCGGTCCCTTCGCAAGAACTCGCTGGCGTGGGCCAACGCCAGCCAGCTCTGCCTGCAGCGCATGTCGATGGCGGGAATGCTAACGCCAGCAATAACGTCTGAAATTCTCCAGACATATACGTGAATTAAGTCTTGGCGTTGAGTCGCATATGAATATGTATCGTAGCTTCTGTTTGGTGCTGCCTGGCATCACCCACGTAGCGCAAACAAACTTTGCTAGCACCGGGAATTAGAAGTCGCATCAAGATGAGCGGTACTCAAAACCCTTCTTTCATGCTGTTCTAAAATGTGATTGCTACTAGCGCCAAATCCTGTCGCGCTGCTGCCGCGCACTGCAGAGCAGCTGACATACAGACATTTTCGGCTTTCTTGACTGACGCGTTGCGGATTTCCCAGTGTAAAGCCAGTTTTACTGACGCGCACATAGGAAAAGCATTCAAGCACAGACTGCTTCACACAGCACAAGTTAACGAGCACTTCATCTGACGCGTCAGCCAGCGCATGGGCAATGCCACAATTTCACTGACGTGCACAGTCGCACGCCGAGTCGCGGCTGACGCGGACCAAACCAATCTTAACATTTACACAAACTTGCAACGGACGGTTTAGGACGCTGCACAGATATGCTTCTGACTCACTTCCTACCCCCAGCCCTCCATTGCGGGTGTCGTCGCCATAGATATAACACTAGCTTGAAGAGAATTACCGAGGCATGTCAGGCAGCAAGCGGCCCACGGTCCAAGTAGAGTGTGTCGGGGGCTGCTTCTGCTATTTTTATCTTCTGTTGTCTTTGTTATTCTCGCCCCTGAATCCACCAATGTGCAGGACATTGCAGAACAGCTTACGTGGCTGATCTGTCCGCTCCGAGCCTAAGGGCAACCTGTACCACTGCTCTGTCGTTGCACAGGTCCGGGTGGGCGAAGGATAGACAACGCCAGCTCGCACTGACAGCCTCTCGTGGCGGATGCATAGCATCTACGTCGGGCATGTCGGCGCTTGCCAAACGTACAGCCTTTGACATGAAATCCCTGTTGGTGTACAGCACGGGATCGCAGTACCTGCAATCAAGATCACAGGACTCTGCGATTGCTCGGCATGAAGGTCAAGAGGTTCTGGCGGCTCCGTCGTACATCGTCTCTGACATTAGTGCAGCTACGGGACTCGATGGCTTGCCAATTTTGGCCGACGGCCTGACGGACCAAAAGGAATACAACAAAGGTCAAGCAGCGATCCCAAAAGCTTCAGGCCGACAACAGCGATCCAGCTACCTGCAGCCCCTGCGCACTGGCATGCCTCGCTTGTCCCAGCCCTGTGCACCCATCACTCTGGTCTCGATACCCCTATGTCTCGTTTCCCCCCTCCGTCTTCCGCTTTCCTTCATACCTCCTCCGCAATTCCTCCCGCTGCTCGGAGTTCGACAGCAAGCGCGGTTTGAGGGGCTCTTGACAAGGGCTCAAAAGCAAGAGCTGAGAAAAGCTGACCTCAAGGCAAAGATCGGGATCAGCTCGAAGCTGGGCAGAAGCAAACCGAAGGCTGCAGCCGTGTTGGTGCACAGCTGCTAGGACAAGCTCCTCAAGGCAAGAAGCGACAGCAAGCATGTCGAGTACTCACGAATCCCTTCGCCTCCTGTGCCCGGAACTCGTCTGCAAGCAATTCCAATGCTTCGCCAGATTGAGTCAACGCGGCCTCGATGATCGGCACATTCACCTGTCTTGGGGGTCGTGGGCATTCGTCGAAGAGGATCCGCTGTCATTCCCAACGCTAGCTAGTGTAGTAGTGTTAGTAGTGTTGGATCTCGCATAGGACAAGCTTGTACATGTAAATCTGGGGATTGCGAGAGTCTCTTTCACTCTCGTCCCTCCTGCAGTTCGGGACTGGCGAATGCGATGGCGAAGCCATTCTGCCGAACGGCAACCTGCACCCGCGTGGCCACACAGAGCCCTTGTAGTTGTTACTTTAGTTTACGCGTGCTCGAATGATGTGTGACAGTGCACGGATGAGGGCTTGCTTCATCGGCCGCGATGCCTCAAGCAAGGATACAAAAGCCCACCTCCACGTATTTCGGATGAGCACGAACGACCCTGGGCATGTCCTCCCAAAAGCTGGGCATTTTGATTCACGGAAAGGACAGCTGGGAAATCCTCGCCTGGAGCCGGAGGCCGTCTTGTTGAAGCGTGAGCCGCACCTCTCAGAGTCGTCTCTGTCGAGTTCGAATGCTCAGTCCTCCGGGCCTTTACGTCATCAACAAGCCCCATCGGGGTATCCTCAGGCATCCTGTCATGCCTCGGGAAGTGAGACAACTCGGGTGCTGTGTGCAGAGCTGGGGATCCACCTGATAATCTCCTCCCCATCATCGTCCGGCTTGGTCCGTTTGGCATAGGGCACGAGAACCTTGCCTGGCGGCTGCCATAGCTAATATCCAGTCCATGTGCCATACAGTGCCATGACAGCTGCGCAGCCTCTGTACTTCTGCATTGCTTCCAGGATGCATCGCCGAATCGCCCCCTAAGGCCCTAAGGCTTGAAGGTTGGCCCTGAGTTCCGATCTCCGAAAAAGCCTTTCTTGGGTGCCGGCCTGCAGGCTGTCCCCACACGTCTTCGCCTTACCTACCTGTAACTTTGTTCGATGTGTCAACGGACCTTTTCTATCAGTGAAGGAGAACTGCATCGACCTCCGCGTTTTGTGTGGCAACGTGGGCTTCCTAGCAAACGGCAAACGGCCCAAAACGCTGCAGAGCTGGATCTGAGGCCGAGCTAAGGAAGCACACCAAGGGGCACACGTCTTGAAGGCGGGATGCCACTCCATCGCTGCCATGGCGCCTGCAAGGCACTGCAAGGCCGCAAGAAGCGCTGTGTGCGACACTTCAATCAAGCCGGGCAAAGAGTGCAGAGGGCGCGGCCGGCGTCCCGAGCTACCCTCCGGTAAACACTGCAAAGCCCAAAGGTACTGCGCGATTCGGCACTGTTAGGGCAAGCTGATGACTCTCGCATGCGCACCCCACCAAGCCGGTTTTGGCACACTCTGGTTCGAATGCTCAGTTGGCAAAAGGACGGCGGATATGTGTATTAAAAACACTAAGAGCTTGAAGGTTTCCAAGCAAAGAAACCGCAGGTTTGGGGCAAGGAGACGGTGAGAAATCCCACGAACCTCTGACATTCCCGTTTTTACAGGGCGCTCCGGTTGGGGGTAAATAGGCCGATGGCGGAGTCTACAGAAGGTACAAGCTCAGCAGAGCCAGCGTTGTTGCTACAGCGCTGACAGATGATGGCTCACTCGAAGAGTCATCTACGCAGCACGAGGTTTCCGAAGTGCCATCTTGCGAACAGTCCATCTGGACGACTCCGCCTATGGTCAGAGAGCTGTACTGGTTGCTTGGGCTCCCGTAAGTCGCAGTGCAAGCAGCTTGGCAATCCGCCTTTGAATGAACCGTGCTACATGACACTGGTGCACCCAGCAGGAGTGAACCCTCCGTTGTCGTCGTGATTGTCGGAGCTTGACCTTCGCAGCACGAGGTGCTCGAGGTGCCATCTGCCGAGCAGTATACCCCCTCGAGGCTGGGGTCTCTCCACAGGTGGTCAGGGCTCGCGTAAACAGCAGTACAAGCAGCTTGGCACTCCTCCGGCGACTGAATCGTGCTGCATGGTGGCACCGGTGCTGTCGTCGTGTTGTTAGCCACGCCAGCCACGATCAATATAGCACAAGCGAAGAAGCCTTGAGTCATGACACAAGTCTGTCTGAGCAGCAGTGCCCATCCTGGACTCTTGCTTCGAGCCGGCTGCGCTGCGAAGCTGATGCTCTGCGTTACGAGTACATACCCGTAAACGCCATACACACTATTACCAGCAACTCCGTGAGGGTAGAGCCTGGGCCTCTTTTGCACGCCGACACGCGACGCGATTCGACGCCGGGCACGGAGCCCACTTGTGGAGAGCCGCCCGAGTCGATGAGCCCGGCGGGCCTCACGACTCGGGCTCGGAGAGACTGCGAGAGACTTTTTGCAGCTTCTGAAAAAAATCTGAGAGGCCGTGACGCGGCAGACCTCCGGCCGAGCCGCGGCTGAACTCCTGGCGGACGCTGACCGCTTTCCGCTCCGCGTTCCCTTTCCTTTTGCGTCACCCTGCGCCTCAGCTAGACAGCTAGACGGTCACTTCAAACTGGCCTGGCGAGAACCGAGCATCACGTTTTCAGCTGGACATCTAACCTGCCTCCGCCGTTCGCAGGTCCTTCGGAAGCCTGCGGCAAACTGCGAACGTATCCTTCAGCCCCCACACCCCGGAAATCTCGCACTTGCCCGAAGATTTGGAAGAAGAAAAGCCTTGCCTGCGCAGCGGGAAGCTCCCAGGGCGGAGGGCCTCTGCCCGCCACAAGACGGAGGCGACTCAAAACGAAACGCGTCTTGGCATGACTTCGGCCGATGACCAACTACCGTCGGCAAACCATGTCATGATGAGAAACGAGAAAAGCATACTGCATACTGGTCAAACTAGCGACAGCTATGTACATGAGGGAAATGAGGAAGGAAACATATATTTTCGATTGAAGATCACCTGTGAGATGCTTCCAAGATTTCCTTGCAAGCACAAACAACTGCATTTTTCTGCAAGAAGAAGGCCGGCACTTAAAAGGGACTCTCTTACGCAGCTTGCGTCTCTCTGTACTTCCTGAGTACACCAATCTTCTTGGTTGCTTCATAAGCACACCCAACTAATTGATGTAAATAATTAATGCTGAATAGAACTGTCGAGCCGTCCATCCTGCGATGTCTTCAGCTTCTGGTGCCTGCTTATCGCAGCGCTGTGCTGATGATATTATCAGGTTGTGGTCTTTGTCCAACAAGAAAGTGACGAGCCACTGCTTGTCGATGCCATTCGTCCAGTATCGGTGCTTGCCCAGTTCATCGGAGCTCGAGACAGGTACTGCAAAGTCTCCAAGCTTCCTGCATGCGCCCTTGTGAGCTGCGAAAGCTGGGAAGCTTGCCCAGGTCAGCGTGGTGCCAGAACCGCCGGCCGTCTGCACCTCGAGACACGAGAGAAACGAAGGCTCGACGCAAGGCTCCTCTTCAACTTCAGGCCTTCCCGGTAGATCCAGCCACTAGGTACCTCGTCGGGGCTGGGAAGGCTGGGCCTCAGCGGTCTCCGCGGAACTGTCGCATGCGACCTGCCGTGAAACGACGCGGCGAGGCGCTTCTGAGACCGCGGCGAGGACGGCGAGGCCTCCGACTCCTCCCAGGGCGCCGGGCCCAGTGCGAGATTGTGCCAATACCTCCGCCCATTGGGCCCTGCAGAGAAGGGGAGAGGAGGGGGGAGACGGAGCCCAGGTGCTGCGTCTGCGCAGGCGGCTGCTTATTGCGTGCTGGATTGACGTGTCGCTCAGAGTTGAGAACACTTCGAGAGAAGCATCAGAGGTTCCCTGGCCTACTGTGCTCACCCAGTTTTCGGGGGAGAGGTCCGGAGCCGGCAAAGGCTTCTGCACATCAGCCACAGTCCTGGCCAGGAGAGTTGAGATCTCCAATGCCAACCAAGGGCCGTAGTCTGCAGGACTCAAGAGGAAAAGACTATTATAGGCACCGGACCATGCACGCAGCGCGGCTCGCCCCACGACAGCATCCACATCCAAGGGATCCACCTCCCAAGTTGGAACATGGGTTGAAAGCAGAACTGCGAAACTGCAGGCAATTTTCAACTTTGTTCAGGCGCAGCTGTTCACGATACGGATGGGCAGCTAGCGGAAAACCACGCCCACAACCGCAAAGTGAGCGTCCCTGCAAAAGGCTGCAAACGCAAAGAAGCAAACCTTCCTCACCTGGTCGAAGGAAGGCTGACAGCAGCACGCGGGCGGCGCAGGTCTGAGACTTGCTTCACAGACCATGCATGATTCTAAGCTACCACTGATGTGCAGTTTGCTCTTCATCTGCAATGCTAGATGTGAAGGAGCCCGAGCAGTCTCGGCTCGTCACAAAGCATCGCTACACAAAGAAATGCTCCCTTCGTGCTCTTGGCCCTGCTTGGGAGCATCTCGACCCTCGACATCCGCATGCCAAGGTGCAAAGCACCACAACGGACTGCAAGGAGCACGGAATGCCTACGGACAGCTTTGGTGCTCAGGACACTGAGGACCCTGCAAGCTTTCTATCCATCTGGACATCTCATCTGCACTGTCCTGCATAACATGCTATGAATACGCGCACTGAGCGGCAACCCAGCGACCGCCAAGGTGCCAGTCTCATGGCTTGCAAGCATCTTCGTGTGAACATCTTTGCTGCCCATCAGCCCACGAATCGCAGCAACTGACCCAAAGTTCAAGTTCAAATCACGTCCCAGCTCCCGCAACTTCTGCTCGAGATTGAGGGTCTGTGGTCGCACGAGATCCAGCAAGTAATCCTTGCACGCAACACATCTTCCTACACTGCGCTAGATCTCGTTAAACCCCGAGCCCAGAGCAAGCCCGCTTCAACATATGGCTGTTGATCTAAATTGCTTCATCCCGGAATGACCTTCTTCACGAATAAAAAATAAATTTAGCGCCACCATCGCAGAACTTTCGCGAAGGCATATTTTCATACTTTTGCAAGTTAGAACCCTGAGTTATAAGCTATAAGCTTCGCGATGACAAGTTGTTACGGGCATTATAATTAAGAGCTTTTGGCAGGATTCCTAGGCGTGTTAGACAGGCTTTCGTACCAACGGAGGCTTGAGAAGCTTTCTTCATTGGGCTGTTTCAGGGGTCGTAAGGGCTTCCTAGGAGGTGCCCCCTTCGCCAGCCACTCGCGAATGGGGGGTGGCCGTGATCTGGCTACGTCGACTTTAACGTCCCTTATGCGGAACTTATGCGCTAAAATGGACTGGAACCGAATTGTTGGTTTTGTCGTTGATAAGACTGTGGGTAGTAGGTATGGCAAGAAGTGGTAGTAGGTGGAGACTAGTAAGAGTAGCAGCAGCAGCAGCAGCAGCAGCAGAAGCAACAGTAGCAATAGAAAGACCAATAGCAACAGTCATAGTAATGGCGTTTTCGGCCGACGGCAAAGGAAATGTCGCTCGGAGGTGTTCTGAACATGGTTCAGGCTCGGCCATGCGATTTCCTGACCAATGTCCACATTTTCACGTGGCGGTTATGAGCAGAAGCTTAGCCTTGAGAAGGCAAACGATCGCGCATCCGATCATCCCCCAAGAGGCTGCAGAGACTCCAGCATCCCCTGAGTCCCTGACCGGATCTGTGTCCACGGTAAAGCGAAGCGTGACGTGGGCAACGGCCTCAGCACGCAGCACGATGCGCAGTGCCTGCTTGTGGAGGGTACCCACCTGCCCCAACTTGCACTCAGCCCCCAGAAGTCCTCCGCGCATGTGCGCCAAGGGAACCTGGCACTTTTGGAGTCTACTGCTTTCTTTGAACAGAGCACCCCCCAAAAATTCCTGTGTCGCTGTGTATGTGCAGATGTAGTAAGAGTGTACAACTTTGGGCTGAAAGATGCTGACAGATGCTGCAAGCTATGATCCCGGGGAAAATTCCCTGAAAATCAGCTCGGTGGAAAGTCTGCCGGTATGGCCGGCATCAAGGGGCTGGTCCACACACATCGCCGCTTGTCTGACTCCAGCCTCAGAATCTTAGATGCGGGTCGCTAGACAGGGCAGTGCCCGGAAGGCTCAGGTGGATTAAAAACCTGACGGCTTCTCTCAAGCTGCAACACCCCGTAAAGGCAGCAAAGGCCGTCAAGCGAAGCGGCGGCTGCTGCAGGCACGAGGGTAGGATCCGCCGCTGCAGCTCCAAGGTCGCCTCGAAGACTCGCTCTACAATCTGTGATAAAAACATGTACGTGTGTGTGTGTGTGTGTCTGTGTGTCTGTGTGTCTGTGTGTGTGTCTGTCTGTGTGTCTGTCTGT